CGCCCCGTGGGAAATAAAACTCCGTTTTTGGCCGCCTCGGCTCCCCGGCTGGGCCGGAGCAGCCGCAAATGGCACCTGCGTGGGCTGAACTGGAGCGTCCGCGCTTCTACTCTGTTTTCAGGCAAATGTTTCCAAGATGAAGAAGCAGTAGAAATGCTGCTGCAAAAAGAAAACAAAACTCGAGAAAATGGCCCTTTTAGTTGTTTTCCTATGTATAAAATAGCAAAACAAAGCACTATTCCAGCTTCCAAAAGTCTTCCTGTGGTATCGTCTCTGTATCGGAGGCGCATCTCCTGTAACCTGTGTCCTTCGTGCCCGCTCTCCTCTGAGCCCACGGCACGGCCACCTGTGGAATGAGCTGTGGCTGACAGCGGGAGAGTAGCAGGGCGACAGCCTGCGGTATCCGTCTGGCACCGACACCCTCCCTAACAGCCTCTGGGTTTTAAGAGGGTGATTTCTGGAGCGGGGGAGGGCAGGACACCGCTTGCTTTCGGCTGAGTGCCTGTGGTGTGGGGTTTGAAGCCAGGTAGTGTGCTAGCAGAGGGCGCTTCTCTCAGGACGCTGAGTAAAACACTTTCTCGTTTGCCTGGACAGAGCTGGGGTGGACGGAGTCCGTACCCTATCTTGATAGGCCTCCGTCCCCGCTGGAGTTTTATCGAGAATGGGTGAGTCCGAACAAACCTTGTATAATTCAGAATGCCATCAGCCACTGGCCGGCTCTGAAGAAATGGACCGCAGCGTACCTCAGGTATGAACGAGCTTTGGAGCAGGACTGGTGGTCAACTTTGGTTGACCTCACTAAAAGACCCTTCCTTAATCTTTGGTTTTATCCATCAGATTAGCTCAGATTCTTCTGTCCTTCTGTATGAAGGTGTTCAGTCTTGCCAAACTCACGTGTGAATTTCTTCCTGCAAAGATCATGAGTTCCTGACCTGTCCCGATGCAGCATGAAGGGTGGGTGTTTTGGCTGCGTGCAGCCAACAGACTCAGGCTACCGAAACCCAGTCTGATTGCTGTGCTCTGGCCAGTGCTCCGCTCTGTAGCCTCCCAGCTGCAGTGGGGCCGTAGCTCTGTAAGAACAGACTGACTTGTTTGTGACTGAGTACACCTTATCTTTTTAAAAAAAACCAAACGATGAGCGTTTTAACAATGACTGATTTTTTTTTTCTAAGTTTTTTTGAGAGGGGATTTCTGGTTAGACCTAAAATCTATGGGTTTAAAATTAAATTTCTCACAGAAATAAGGACTGTTAGCCTCACGATGTGTGTGTCCGTCAGTCTCTGTCCGCCCTTTCTCCCTCCTCGATTGCTTTTGAACATACGGCCCACCAGATTTGGTTGGGTTGAGTGGTCCCGAGAATACCAAGCTCTGCCATGATTCATGAAAAGGAGTGGCTGAAGAGGGCCCTCTGCCTGCACGGGGGAAAAGGGAGCTCCTTTGTGAACTCACCTGTTAGACACCAGAGAATTTAGAGGGGCGAAAGATACTATGGTTGCCTTGACCGCAGGGAGCAATCGGAGCAGAATGCCAGAGTCCTTATCAGACAGTAGAAAATTTAGTCTAGAGACACCCATGCATGGAAAGCCAGGCTTCCTATTTTTGCTGGCCATGAAACATGTTCTTTTTAAAGTAACTAGTGTCCAATGTATAGGCCAATTGCAGGTCTGGCTATAAACTTTTGATTTATTTTGCAGGGAGGTAGTAGGTTCCAAGGTAGTGAGTGTGGCAGTAACACCCAATGGTTACGCAGATGCGGTGTTTCAGGACCGTTTTGTCATGCCAGAGGAGCGCCAAATGCCTTTCATGGACTTTTTGGACATTGTGGAGAAGAAAGTGACCTCTCCCAACGTATTCTATGTGCAGAAGCAGTGTTCAAACCTCACTGAGGAGTTCCCTGAACTTGTCTGTGATGTGCAGCCTGACATACCATGGATGAGTGAGGCGCTTGGTAAACCACCTATTATTTCTTCTATATTCAGTAAATATTTTGTATGGAGCTTTAAAACAATCATGCTAGGTACATAGCGAATGTTTGTTCTGTTTCTGGATGCCACAGCTCAGTTTGGTTTCACCCCCTTAGAAAGTAGAAGTAGTAAAATACTTAATAATAGAGTAATCCAAGTTTTGGGTTTGGGTTACTCCAGAATCAGTATCTCAGTCGTGTATTGGGACCATCACAACTGAAACAATGGGGTGATAGTGCCATATAGCACTTCTTTTCGTATAGTGGCTTTTCTCTGATTTAGAGTCATGTTTCGAGAGGATTCACACTGTTGCTACCAAAGCTAGCGTAACAAACGAAACAACACACAGCCCCCACCCCCTTTGGTAAAATTATACATGTTTGTTTCTGGTTAAACGTTGTTTTATTTCAGTTGGTTTCTATTTTACAGCATGTCTTTCCTTAAAATGTCAATGAAAGTGATTTACTGTGATCTCACCTTCTTTTTGCAACCATACGTAGACATGCTGCAGTTTCTCTGTGAGCTAAGTCTTAGGGATTCAGAATGTGGAAACAAAGGGTTGTAACCATCGATTTGGGGATGGATAATACTATGTCATGAAGTCTGATGGGCGCTGCAGTGGCTTCCACTGTAGAAGGAGGTTGCTGTTGCTCACAGAGTGCTATTTGCAATGAAACCTGTCATAGTTATGAAGGAAGTTAAAGGACAGAATTTGGCAGAAAATTATTTGAAATGCTTTTAAACATGACACTTCAAATTCTTTTTTTGTTGACAACATTTCTCTACTCCCTAACCATACAGGGAAGAAGCCTGATGCTGTGAATTTCTGGCTTGGGGAATCAGCTGCTGTGACGTCTTGTACGTATTGTACGGCGCTGTAAGTCTTCTGTGTGCTTTCAGCACAGGTTTAAGCGGGCTTTTTTTGAGTTAGTGGCTCAGTAGGACTGTGTGTTTTTTCTGACAAGGCAGTTCTACTCTAACATGCTTTTTTGCATTCTGTCTCCTGCACTTCTGCAGCCTCTTGCTGCTGTGCCTCTGGGTGCCTCTACCTGACATTGCGTCAGACAAGGCACTGACAATTTGCTTTGTTGAATACATTTGCTGCAACATTACATCGTTACTTTCCACTCCCAGTGGCCACAAGAGGAGGAAGCAGCCTGATAATAAAGAGGACAAGCTGACACTTTCCGTTTACTATAGTTTTTTATGTAAAGAAGGAAATAACACTGATTTTCTCTCTTTCTCCACATCTCTTTTTTTTTTTTTCCCTCAATCCTAGTACATAAAGATCATTATGAGAACTTGTACTGTGTGATATCTGGAGAGAAACATTTTCTACTGCATCCACCGAGTGACCGTCCCTTCATCCCATATGGTACGTAATTTACTATGCAGTACGTCTGGAGGTTGGAAGGAGGAGAGACTAAAATATTGAAAGATATGAAAAAGGAAGCGGAGATAACATTTTGATGTTTATGCAGTGTTATGCTTTCCTGTGTGAACAGAAATCTCTTCTATTTAGTGCTGCAGGTAGATTGTGACACAAACATTATTCTGAGGTCAGGTTTTCCAGTCCTGTAAAGTAATAGGTTCATTGATACTCATGGCAGTCTCTTCAGCTTTAGAATATTTAAATTATTTAAGTATCTTGTCAGCATTGTAGCATGTCATCTTTGATGTTTAACATGTTTGGATTCTGCCTGCTCATTCTTTTCTCTAGGAAAAAAGCCAGGAAGCTGAAAAATAAGTTGTAATTTAATGAAATATGCAAGTTACTAACTGAATCTCTGAAAACTGGAGAAATGAAAAAAGAGATTCTTATGGCAGCATTCCTTTGCATTGCCCGTTTTCTGTTTCTTTACGTTGCTTTCCTATATGCACAGTAATAGTTTGTTATGTTGCAGTGTCATCTAGAAGATGGACAGCTTAACTATATGCCTCATAAAATAAGACTTTATTTTCCCATTCCTTGACTTTCAAACCTTCAGATTAAGTGAATGCAGAGTGCTATATGACACTAATATAATTTTGCCTGGATATGCGCGCTGCTACAATATTTTATTTATACTGGTTTTATTTTGTTTACGACCTTGAAATCATAGAATCATAGAATGGTTTGGGTTGGAAGGGACCTTTAAGATCATCTAGTCTATCCTCCTTGCCGTTCACTAGATCAGGTTGCTCAAAGCCCCGTCCAACGTGACGTTGAACACTTCCAATGATGGGGCATCCACAACTTCTCTGGGCAACCTGTTCCAGTGTCTCACGACCCTCATCGTAAAAAATTTCTTTGTAATTTAATGAAATATGCAAGTTACTAACTGAATCTCTGAAAACTGGAGAAATGAAAAAAGAGATTCTTACGGCAGCATTACTTTGCATTGCCCATTTTCTGTTTCTTTACGTTGCTTTCCTATATGCACAGTAATAGTTTGTTATATTGCAGTGTCATCTAGAAGATGGACAGCTTAACTATATGCCTCATAAAATAAGACTTTATTTTCCCATTCCTTGACTTTCAAACCTTCAGATTAAGTGAATGCAGAGTGCTATATGACACTAATATAATTTTGCCTGGATATGCGCGCTGCTACAATATTGTATTTATACTGGTTTTATTTTGTTTACGACCTTGAAGTCGTAGAATCATAGAATGGTTTGGGTTGGAAGGGACCTTTAAGATCATCTAGTCTATCCTCCTTGCCGTTCACTAGATCAGGTTGCTCAAAGCCCCGTCCAACGTGACGTTGAACACTTCCAATGATGGGGCATCCACAACTTCTCTGGGCAACCTGTTCCAGTGTCTCACGACCCTCATCGTAAAAAATTTCTTCCTTGTATCCAATCTAAATCTACCCTCTCTCAGATTGAAACTGTTGCCCCTTGTCCTGTCAGTACAGGCCTTGGTAAAAAGTCTTTCTCTGTCTTTCTTATAAACCCCCTTATACTGAAAGGCCGCAATAAGGTTTCCCCAGAGCCTTCTCTTCTCCAGGCTGAACAACTCCATCTGTCTCAGCCTTTCTGCATAGGAGAGGTGGTGTCATATGTATGTGAATGTATGAAATACACATATGTCATATGAGTCATACTTTGTGAAACAAGTTACTGTTAAAGCATAGAACAGAGATAATGCTTACGCTTTATAGTGTGTAGTAAAAAGGCGACTCCATCTTTTTGAACATCAGGTTAATGGAGAGAAACTCTCTCAAGGGAAGGCTTAGAAAACCACGTGTGCTGAAGCAATGAAAGAAGAGCAACCTGCAGTATCTGAAGCAGTTGATAAGCCCTATCGGATAAAATTAGAAGTGAAAGGCTGGTCACAAGTCGCTAATAACTCTTGTGAGGGCTATCTTGCTAGCTTGACCTAAGAAGAAATGCCAGAATATAGAAAGATGTGTAAGTCTGGGATGCCTTTATGACTTCCGAAAGGGAAACAAGACAGTTACTGGAACAAAATAGGACCAGGAATAAAATGGGTTTTGAGGAGAATAATTCCTGTGAAGAAAGAAGGTTGGAATTCCAAACGGGAGGGCAGTTCAGTATCCGGACTGACTTAAAAAAAATAAATTAAGCCACTCAATAAAAATTGAAATGGACAAAGGGAAGGACAGTGAGGACAGTGAGTTGACAATGGTTTTGTCTTAATTTTTCTTTTACTTGGTGAAAGTGTGACATGCCCTGCCATTAGTTTCTCTGAGTACTACTCTGAGTTGTGTCATTTAATTCTTTCTATGGTTCCAGACCTCTATCAGCCAGCAACCTACCAGGTATCAGAAGATGGCTCATTTGAAATTGTGGATGAGAAGAGTGCAGATAAGGTAAAAAGTATATAAAGAACACAATCAATACAGTAAAGATAGTTTTGGGCACTGCTGAGCCCTCAAGCTGAGCATATTGATTGATATTTAGAAATCCTTCATTACAGGAAAGAGAATGCCCGGATATTTCACTTGTATTTTACTATTCGCAAAGGATACCCAGCTTCCAGAAAAGATTTTTACAGTACACTTGAAACATTGATGTCATAAACTGTCTTCCTTGCACCAAACCTAAATAGATCCAGTAAAGGACTTTTAAATGAATCAACAGTAAAGGAACTGATTTCATTAAGACTGAAATAGACTCCTCTGCATTCACTTTCTTTTGGCCCTCTACTCAGGGCTCAATTTTGTTCTACAGCAGTATCACCCAGTGCAATAAAATGTATCTGTCTCAATGAATAAATTGTGTTTTCTTAGTAGTAGCAATATTTATTTGATTAAAATGTGTAGATCTGTAGGCACTTTACAAAAACTCTGTAGCCTTTTGTATATAATCTCTCTCCTTTTGCCTCTGCAATGTGTGACTAATGCTACAGCCGAACTTGAGCTAGGGCTTTTTCTCTGTTTCTGGAGTGGTGCTCATGGAATCTCATGGGAGCATTCCTGTAATGCAGTAAGGTTGAGTGCTGAGGTTTATAACTCTATAGGGCATAGAAGAAATGAATGCAGGCAAGAGGGATTTCCCAGCGGGAAGGGGGGTTTTAGCTGCTGGGAATAAAATTAGACCAGAGAGCTTTAGAAGAAGAAAGGAATTTCTGAAATGAGTGGTGCAGATAAAATACTCAAGTACTGAATGTAGGAGGAACATATGACTTAAGGGGCTGTGGTGTTTTGGAAGTATGCCACGAGACTGAAATTTCACGGCTGACATTTAGCACCTTTTCCCTAATTAGAAATGCTTCCCTGAAGGAGGCAAATTTTTGCATCCTTGACCTATTCCCAGTTGAATGTGGAAAGCTGTGTAGCTGTACGTGTTTTGCTAGGCAAAATACATGCTATGTATCCTAGTAAGTTTGGTTATCAGTTGTTTTTTCTGGAAGCTTGCTGGAATTTTTTGCCAGGGTCAGTACCATATACGTACTCTTTTGCTTTTAGGTGCCCTGGATCCCCCTGGACCCATTGAACCCGAATCTGGAACAGTATCCGGAGTATGCTCAGGCAAAACCTTTGCAGTGTACAGTGAAAGCTGGTGAGATGTTATACCTGCCTTCTCTCTGGTTCCATCATGTTCAGCAATCACATGGCTGTATAGCAGGTAAAATACACAGTATTTCCAGATATGTTTCTGAACTGCGGTGGGTGTGCAGCTAGAGCAAAACAGCTACAGCAAAGCATAACTGGGACCAAAGGTGCCTTTAAGATCATCTACCTCCCCTCAGGAGGAAAGAGCAATCTCGGCAGATGCCATGGGGCTACCTTCTTGCAGTCTCTTTTGCTTATAATTCATAGCATTGTTGACAAGTGCTAGGGATGTAGCAGAAGCAAAAGCCTTTCTAGTTATCAAGTCTGGAGAAGGATAGCTAATTCAGGGATCACGATCCAGTTTCTTTTTATAACATGGAGCTAAGCAGTTTGTCTGCCTAGCCTGCTAACTGCAAATTGGTCACCTTTCACAAAGAAACTGGATGTTGTCTGTGCCGTTATCACATCAACAAAAAAGGATCTGGGGGAAGAAAAGGAAACCAGAAAGTGTATGAGTTTTAGGCATGGATATAGACTCAACGTGGAAGATACTCTGTTGTCATGTGAGCTGGAATCTGCTCTGCCCCAGTCTCCTACCTTGCTAATAAGCCTATGCTTGTGTTACGGTTCCCCTGAGCTTATCAAAAGTCTTGTCATCTCTTTCTTCATAGGATTTATCATCATCTCTAACTTTTCCTTTTCCTTCCCGAAGAGAGTTCCAGAATTTCAAGCATTGCTCATTTGGTGCAGGTGGAGGGGCGGGGGTGGTGCAAAGTATTATCATTATATCCTGTAAGTTTTGCAAGGTTTGAGGAAGAGTTTTTTGCTGTCCTTTACCTGGAATAATACTGTCTGCTCAGGAAGAGTAAATATAGTATTTTGACCAACTTAACGTTAGTATTTGTGTAATACTGCAAATATTGCAAGCCCTTCTTTTCAGTATTTGCGATACTGTGATAAAAAGACAAGCTAGCCATAAAGCAGTATTTCTGATTCTCTTTTCCCAGTACTGCTGCATCAGTCCTTAAAAGTTTTTTAGAAAAAATAGAGTTGTTTCCAGTTGCAAGCTCCCAGCCACTCTCTTCTGCTCTGTCTAGCAGAATTGTTAAAGAGTTGATGAGTTTATTTGGCCTTTAGTCTGTTAACTACACTACAGTCTGTATACACCTGAGAAACCAGTATTCTCTGGGTCTGGTCCAGTGAATATCTGAAACTGGAGTGTAACCTCCTCCAAGAACCATTGGTACAATATTATACTGCTTGGCTTATTTTTTCTAGGAGATGTACACCAAAATTAAAATGAGAAGCAGAATTAAAGCACTGCCTAACTGATGAGCATTGTGAAGTAGTGGTGAATTTGCCATCCTTTACACACTCAGAGGAAGAGAGGTTCCTATCCAGATGTTAAACTTTGCAGTGTATTTGGTATTTTTGGTCTAAATAGAAGCATACATTTTCTGTTGCTAAACATTTTGCCAGCTTCTACTCCAAGGAATCCTCAGTATAGAGTCTGAAGAGGAGTTGGTTTGGGTTAAGACAGAGTTGCATTGGCAGCGCTATTTAAGAACTTTAACATTTGCTTACATTATTTTTGGCTGTAGTGAAAGATTTGCTCAGTTCAAAGTTCAGTCAGTAATAAGGAAAAGCCTGTACCAGCTGAACTGTGTAAACAGTCTATGAACACGTTTGTAAATCATTACATTCTAGCCTTAGAAATGTTTTTCCTTTTTCTTGTCTCCTCAGTGAATTATTGGTATGACATGGAATATGACCTTAAGTACAGCTATTATCAACTACTAGATTGTCTCACAAAAACCGTGAAAGTGTTATAGCAGAGGTGGGAGACTTGAGCTTGTGATCTCTCTCTCTGATGTGGTACAATCATCAGCATCTGTGACTGGAGTACAAACATGATTCAAGTGAAAAGAGCTGAACATTAAATTATCTTCAACAACGTCTGTCAAACAGATCATGGCTATTTTGCTTGACTTCAGAGTCCAGATCAATTGGCCAGATTTTTTGGCTTGTAAGTAGAAGGTTTGATAATAGCATTTTTAGGTCTTTGCATGTTGCCTCAGTGACGGTGAGCAAAATAAAATTTGCAGGGAGACAATCCAGGTTTGGGAAATCCCAAAACAGAAGCCATGACTGTTTGTTCAGATCTACAGATTGTTTTCATAACAACCCAAGAGGAAAAGGAAGAATCTGTTCTGCCACCCATCTGTACATCAGGCTGCATCTGTCCAACACATGCATTCTGCTTAAGGCGAAAGTCCTGTCCAGTTGTAATTCACTAAGTTCAGTGGCTGTGGTGTTTTGATGGTGAGAAATTACAACTTCTGCAATAAAAGGTCAGTTCAAAAGCTTATTTCTGTACTAATTTCTTACTTTTTTTTCAAATTATGTGATGGGTGGAGGACGTCTAGAAGGACATGCAAAAGTCAATGCTGACTATTTTCCATGTTAAGCTACCTGTTTTTCTTGCTGGTTTTTATTTCTTTCCACCATTGTAGTTAAATGTAGCTGCATTGTCTTACATCCTGAGTGGTGATTTTAGAGTTGCTTTGCCAGATCTACAGTCAATCTGCACATCACCTGTGGCCTCGTGGCATGACCTGTGATTCTGCAGCTTGTAGGCTCATGGATTGTGTCATTCCTTTGCCATTAATTGCTGCCTAACACGTGGTCAGGTGAGTTGTGTGAACCAGGAGCATATTTCTGTAGTCTTAATTCCCATTTGTATTTCCACAGAACAGGATGAGACTACTCACATGTCTGAGACCTGCAGGGTAGGACTAGAAAGCTATTAGATATGCGGACATTGCAAAAATATAGTATTGTTATTTATGAAAACCAAAAGTTGGTATTTGTCATCGAATCTTCAGACAGTTCCTTAGAAACATTAGTGATATGGGGGGAAATTTATTTTCCATGTATTAATTAGGAAAATGCAGAAATCCTTTAGACAACATTGATTATTGTGAAGAAAAAAGATAATTCTTTTACTTTGTCTCTTTCTTTTGTTTTTTAAAGAAACACAAATAAAGCATAAATCATCATTTTACCTTGTGGTGCTTGTCCAAACATTGCTGAAAACTCAAGAGGGATTAAGGGCAGGCTTTGTTTCCCAGCTAGATTAAGATGTCACGTTACTTCAGGCTCTCCAGTTTGTGTTCACTGTGCCTGGGCAAAGGCGCCCAGGCCAGTTCTGCAGTCGAATCTGGACTTTCCCACAGTCGGGGAGAAAGGCAATTTGAGTGTCTCTTTTTGTCACTTTGGGGTTTTTAATTTAGCCTCTCTCTACAATCAAGTAAGACTGCATGCCAGGAACAAATGACAGCTTGTGTCTGTGCAAGTGGATGGTGTCATTGTACCACCCCTGAGCCAGAGTGTCTGGAGGGAGGCGCGCTCTGAACTACGTCTCCCAGCAGCCCGCGCTTGCCGGCTGAAGGAAGCAGTCACGGTGGTTCCTCCTGGACTTTGGGCAGAGATTGTAAGTCTGAGAAGCGGCGGGCTGCTGACGGTCCTGTTTCACGCAGCCGTGTCTCGCCACAAAAAAAGGCCGCTGC